CGAGGAAACATGTATGTAGTTCCAGCAACTTTAAAATTACTTTTAATTATTTTTCAGCAAACTTCAGGGTCTTTGAAGCCAAGGAGGAGCAAATCAATGTCCTGGTTTTGATACTATTTGAGCCCTGCTTCTGTGGATGACAAATTACTACAACATGTAGATTCTTTGAAGGGTGCAAATCCTCAAATGAAAGGTATGAAATGAGGATGCAGTGTATTTGCATCCTGGGAATTGAAGATCCTACAGAAGACAAAGATCTCAATGGACTTCCATTTAAACCGAAAAGGAGAAGCCCTGGAAGAATGGGATTTCAAGCATCTTACTTCCCATCTGCCCTCACGCATCATCGAAATGAATAGCATTGCAAGCAACACAAATTTGGTTTGAAACCTGGGAGAGAAATGGGAGCAGATGGAATGAATGGAAGAGATAAGAAAGGGGATTGAGACTGAATTCCTTGCTGATGTGTTTCCTCTTTAGTCTCATATGCAGAAGGCCCAGGGCTAGAAGTCTGTAGTCCATCATGGCTACTACTGTGATTGACCACCCATACACCATCCACACTGCCATGTTATAGCAGTTTCACACCACTTTTAACTGCCGTGGCTCCGTCTCAAGATTTGAAGCTTGTGACATCAGAGCTCTCCCACACAAAAGGGTAAATGTTTCACAAAACTACAACTCCCAGCATTCCACAGCACTGGACTACAACAGTGAATGTGGTGCCGTAACTATCAGTTAAATCAGAGTAAATTTATGTTCTTTAATTTATAAATTTGATATAATTTTTTTTAGTGTATGTACAATGTTTTATGTAACAATTCCAATAAAGTGTTTAGTTTAAGGGTTTGGCATGGTGGCTTTTAAACATTTCAAATAACAGCTGGCTCCCAAAAGTGTTTAATATGTCACCTGATCTGTCTCTGCAGCTGTGGAACCTAATTCCCTAAAAACAAGCACATCTGGGGAAGCTGCACATTTAAGAAAGCATGTTGATTCCTAGTTCTCATTAGCTCCAACTCACCTGACTCATCCCTCTATATTAGGCATGGGCAAACTATGGCCCTCCGTCCAGATGTTTTGGACTTCAGCTCCCACAATTCCTGGCCTCAGGCCCTTTCACAAGAACGTGTGGGCCACATTGTTTTGCTTGGATATTTCTCGAGGGGCGCTCCCAAAAGGTGTTACTAGGGGACTCCCGCTCGACTCTGCGACCGTTGTACTGTGGGGTCCCGCAGAGTTCTGTACTGTCCCCTATGTTGTTCAACATATAGATGAAGCCGTTGGGAGAGATCATCCGGAGTTTCGGGGTGCGGTGTCACCTGTACGCAGATGATGTCCAACTCTGTCACTCCTTCCCACCTGCTACTAAGGAGGCTGTCCAAGTCCTGAACCGGTGCTTGGCCGCTGTGACGGACTGGATGAGGGACAACAGATTGAAACTAAATCCAGACAAGACAGAGGTACTCCTGGTCAGTCGAAAGGCCGAACAGGGCATAGGGTTACAGCCTGTGCTGGACGGGGTCACTCTCCCCCTGAAGGCGCAGGTTCGCAGCTTGGGAGTGATCCTGGACTCATCGCTGAACTTGGCACCCCAGGTCTCGTTGGTGGTCAGGGGAGCTTTCGCACAATTAAAGCTTGTGTGCCAGCTGTGCCCGTACCTTGGGAAGTCTGACTTGGCCACAGTAGTCCACGCTCTGGTTACATCCCGTTTAGACTACTGCAACGCTCTCTACGTGGGGTTGCCCTTGAAGACTTCTCGGAAGCTTCAAATGGTCCAGCGCTCGGTAGCCAGGTTGCTAACAGGAGCGGCACTCAGGGAGCATACCACTCCTCTGTTGCGCCAGCTCCACTGGCTGCCAGTCAGCTTCCGAGCACAATTCAAAGTGCTGGTGTTAACCTATAAAGCCCTAAACGACTCCGGCCCAATTTACCTGTCTGAACGTATCCTCCCCTATGAACCATCAAGATTGCTAAGATCGTCTGGAGGGGCCCTGCTCTCGATCCCACCGGCCTCACAGGTGCGGCTGGTGGGGACGAGAGACAGGGCCTTCTCGGTGGTGGCCCCTCGACTCTGGAACTCCCTTCCACTGGAGATCAGAACTGCCCCTTTGATCTTAACGTTCAGGAAACAGGTGAAAACCTGGCTTTGGGGATTGGCATTCAATGACTGAGCCATGATCCTGTGATATGGATGGAGGACTTTGACGAATAATGACTTTGATGACGACTGACCACTGTAATCATATGATTGTATTTTTGCCATTTTAATTGTTTCAATGTTTTAGTGTGATTTAGAAATATGATTTTTTTAAAAAATACTTTTTATTGAGGTGTATTCTTACAGATATATAGATAAAAAAAACAGATTGGGGGTTGGGGATTAGGAATGTTAAGGTTGAGGGGAGGAAACAGAAGTTGGAAGGGATAGATTGGGTTGGAAAAGGTGTGTGGCAGGGTTGGGAAAGGATGGTATGGAAAGTGTATGGGATCTGGGGTGGAAAGAGGGGTATGGTGAGGGTTTTCTGACTTCCTTAATCTCCTTCTCTCTGGTTCCGTCGTTTTTGCTTTCTTCTTTTTTCTGAAAAAATCATTCTTCCTCTTCTTTTGAATCTTTCCTGTTTCGATCGTCTAATAGGTATTCCTCGAATAGCTTCCAGTCTGTTCTTCTCAGTGGCTTTCCGTATTAATCTTTTAGTGCAAAAGTCAGTTTGTCCATATCTTTGATTTCCTTCACCTTGCTTATCCAGTCCTCCTTTGTGGCAACTTCTTCTTCTTTATGATGTTTTAATGACGGTCTGTAATATTGATCAGTTCTTGTGGTTTTTTTTCGGGCTATATGGCCATGTTCTAGAGGCATTCCCTCCTGACGTTTCGCCTGCATCTATGGCAAGCATCCTCAGAGGTAGTGAGGTCTGTTGAGATTATAATGTATTGTCGAAGGCATTGATACGTACCTGTTTCTGAGTTGTTGTAGTTTTTTTTCGGGCTATATGGCCATGTTCTAGAGGCATTCTCTCCTGACGTTTCGCCTGCATCTATGGCAAGCATCCTTAGAGGTAGTGAGGTCTGTTGGAAATAGGAAAAGGGTATTGTCGAAGGCTTTCATGGCCGGAATCACTAAGTTCTTGTGGTTTTTTTTCAGGCTATATGGCCATGTTCTAGAGGCATTCTCTCCTGACGTTTCGCCTGCATCTATGGCAAGCATCCTTAGAGGTAGTGAGGGTTTAATATACGAGTCAAAGTATGTATATGTATATTGTCAAAGGCTTTCATGGATGGAATCACTGGGCTGTTGTAGGTTTTTTCAGTCTATATGGCCATGTTCTAGAGGCATTCTCTCCTGACTTTTCGCATGCATCTATGGCAAGCATCCTCAGAGGTTGTGAGGTCTGTTGGAACTAGGAAAAAGGGTACTGAAAGGCTTTCATGGCCGGAATCACTAAGTTCTTGTGGTTTTTTTTCAGGCTATATGGCCATATTCTAGAGGCATTCTCTCCTGACGTTTCGCCTGCATCTATGGCAAGCATCCTCAGAGGTAGTGAGGTCTGCTGGAAATAGGAAAAGGGTATTGTCGAAGGCTTTCATGGTCGGAATCACTAGGTTCTTGTGGGGTTTTTTTTTCGGGCTATATTTATTTACTGTCCTTGTATACCGCCGTTTCTCAGCCTAACTGGCGACTCAACGCGGTTTACAACAAAATATACAGTGCACAGTATACAATTAAAATTATATGGCCATGTTCTAGAGGCATTCTCTCCTGACGTTTCGCCTGCATCTATGGCAAGCATCCTCAGAGGTAGTGAGGTCTGTTGGAAATAGGAAAATGGGTTATTGCGAAGGCTTTCATGGCCGGAATCACTGGGTTGTTGTAGGTTTTTTCGGGCTATATGGCCATGTTCTAGATGCATTCTCTCCTGACGTTTCGCCTGCATCTATGGCAAGCATCCTCAGAGGTAGTGAGGTCTGTTGGAACTAGAAAAATTGGGTTTATATATCTGTGGAATGACCAGAGTGGGACAAAGGACTCTTGTCTGCTGGAGCTAGGGGTGAATGTTTCAACTGATCACCATGATTTGCATTCAATGGCTTGGAAGCACCTGGGGGGAATCTTTTGTTGAGAGTGATTTTATATGCCAGCAGACAAGAGTCCTTTGCCCCACCCTGGTCTTTCCACAGATATATAAACCCATTTTTCCTAGTTCCAACAGACCTCACTACCTCTGAGGATGCTTGCCATAGATGCAGGCGAAACGTCAGGAGAAAAATTGCGTCCAGAACATCTTGAACTGAGCCACCTCTTTCAACTTCCGCCGGGCGCCATCTTGTTTGCTGGGTAACCATAGCAACCCCACATTCCGCTCTCCTCGCGCCGGGCGCCATCTTGTTTCCTGCGTAGCCATAGCAACGCCGCTGAGCGCCGCCATTTTGCTTCCTCCTGTCTCCTTGGCGACGACGGGTCTTCCCTCTTCCCTCAGAAACATGTCTTCTAGGCCGCGCTCGTCCTTGGAAGAGCTGGACTTGACGGGCGAGGAGGCGTCGCGGCTGGCGCAGGCCTTCCAGGACGAGGAGTTCAAGCGGCTATTTGCGGAGTACGCGGCGGAGCTGTCGGACCCGGCCCAGCGCGCCATTTACGAGGCCGAGGTGTGCGCCTTGGAGCGGGAGCGCGGCGTGGAGGCCCGCTTCCTCCGCCCGGAGCCCGGCTGGGCCTTGAGGACGAGCCAGGGGGGGTCCCGCAGGTGCTACCTCAACATCTGCAGCAACGAGTTGGTGGGGAGGCCCGAGGCGGAGGCAGGCCGCGGGGGAGTCACGTGGCGGCTGCCGCACTGCCTGTCTCCCGGGAGGGAGGAGCTCAGCCGGGGGAAGGCCCACCAAAGGGAGCCCCGCCGGAGTTGGGTTTACGACGTGCTCTTCCACCCGGAGGCCCTCCGCCTTGCCCAGAGGGAGCCCCGATTCCGGGAACTCCTCCACCAGACCGCCCTCGAGGCCGTGGAGAAGCACTACGCGCCACAAGGCCTCGACAAGGCCAACGCCACTGTCCTCCGCGGAGTCAAGTACAAGGGAGTCCCACAGGCATCGCTGCTTCGAACGCCCCTGCCTCAGAAAGACGGAGAAGGGGAACGAGGAGATGGAGAAGGACCCTCTTCCCCTCTCCCGCCCTTCCCCACGCCTTACGCCTACCCCCCTCCGCCCCCAGAAGCGGAAACCGACCTCACCCCGCCTCCAATGGGGTCCCCATCCGCCACCACCCCTCGCTGGACCCTCCGCCACCGCTCCTTCCTGGACCTCCAGGACTTCCGCCCGGATTCCACGCCCAGCACCGTCCCCCGCGAGCTGGAGCTCTCCGTCGAGCTGCCTCTCCTCCGCTCCGCCGCCCAGGCCCGGCTGGAAGTGCGAGGGAGGCTCCTGGAGCTCGACTCGCCCAAGCCGGCGGCCTACCGCCTCCGCCTGACGCTGCCCTACGCCGTGGACGAGGCCGCGGGAAAGGCCACCTTCGACAAGGCCAAGCGGAGGCTGCTCGTCACGCTGCCCGTCCTCCCGCCGCCCGCCAGGCCCTTCCCCGAGGAAGAGGAGGACACTTCCGGTCAGCTGGAGCCTCTTCCGGACGCCGAAGTGACAACACCCGGTCCCCCTCCACTCCCCGAGGAGTTGATGCCTCTTCCGGACGCCGAAGTGGCTGAATCCGTTCCTCCTCGTGCTCAAAAACCAAAACATCCGGTTGATGCGCAGGAAGAGGCGGGATCTCCACAACCGGGCGCTGAAGCCATAGATGGGAGTCCTATGTCGTCACTTCCGGTCGGGCAAAAACAGTCCAACTCTGCCTCTGAAGCTACAAAGGAAGTGACGAATCACTCCGAACTTCCATCTCCAGCCAACAGCGTCGGATACACAGCCCTCTGTGCTTCTGAAGTTGCTGAAACCGTGATTTCTCCGTCACTTCCGGTGCCTTCCAGCCACGTGGACCTTTGTTTATATGAAGAGGGATTGGGTTGTTCGTCACTTCCGGCGCCTTCCAGCCACGTGGATCAGTGTGTATCTGAAGTCAGTGAAACTGTGAGTTCTCCCTCACTTCCCGCCCCTGCCAGCCACGTGGATCTGTTTGTTTCTGAAGCCCCGAGTTCTCCCTCACTTCCGGCCCCTCTCATTCCTTCCAACCACGTGGATCTGTGTGTTTCTGAAGCCAGTGAGGCAGTGGGTCTTTTATCACTTCCGGTGCCTTCCAGCCACGTGGATCTGCCTGTTTCTGAAGTCAGTGAAGCTGTGATTACTCCGTCACTTCCGGACCCAGTCACGCCTTCCAGACACGTGGATCTTTGGGTTTCTGGAGCTAGTGAAGCAGGGGGTCTTTCCTCTCTTCGGGGACCTGTCAGCTACCTGGATCAGTGTGTATCTGAAGTCAGTGAAACCTTGAGTTCTCCCTCACTTCCGGCCCCTGTCAGCCACGTGGATCTGTCTGTTTCTGAAATCAGTGAACCCCTGAATTCTCCCTCACTTCTGGCACCTGTCACTCCTGTCAGTCACGTGGATCTGTGTCTGTCTGAAGACAGTGAGGCTGTGGGTCTTTCCTCACTTCCGTCCCCCGTCAGCCACATAGATCTGTGTGTTTCTAATGTCAGTGAAGCCCTCAGTTCTCTATCACTTCCGGCCACTGTCAGCCACATAAATCTGTGTGTTTCTAATGTCAGTGAAGCCCTGAGTTCTCCGGAACCTGTCACGCCTTCCAGCCACGTGGATCTTTGTGTCTCTAAAGTCAAAGAGGCTGTGGGTTTTTCGTCACTTCCAGCACCTGTCAGTCATGTGGATCTGTGTGTCTCTGAAGCCAGTGAAGCCGTGAGTTTTCCGTCCCTTCCGCTGTCTTCCAGCGTCCGCCACGTGGGGCTAAGTGCTTCTCAAGCAGGGAGTCCTTCACTTCCGGCACCTGTCACTCCTGTCAGCCACCTGGGTCTGTGTGACTTGCCAGAAGAGTCTGAAGTCGTAGCAGAAGTGTCTCCTCCTTCACTTCCTGCTCCTCATGCCAACCACGTGGGTCCTCAGGAGATGAAGCAGCCCACAAATGTCCCCAGCGCTGTGCACCCCCCATGCCCCACAGAGGACCCTGCAGCCCCCGCCTTGTCCTCCTCTCCTGGTCCCAATGGCCCTCCCAAGCCCACCATGGTCCTCCCAAGCCCACCACCAGCCCTTCTGTTCCGCCGTGTCCCCCTTTCAGCTGCACCCAGGATGAACAGACCGTGACCGTCCTCTTGCAAGTGTCCAGCGTGGACCCGCAAAGTCTCCAGGGGGAAGGGGGCGCCCACCATTACAGGGTCAGTTTCCGCAGCCAGGACTTGGCTTCCTACAGCATCCTCTGGCAGTTCTTTCCAGAAAACACATTGGCTCCTCACGAGGCGGAGATCAGCGTCTCCCCCAATAATGTCGTCATTGTCCTGGCCAAATCTCCGGAGACCTGCGGGCTTTGGACTAAGCTCCATTTCGGCCCAAATGCAGACACCTTACAGGTAATTCATTTTGAGTTATATATCGAAGACTCCTTGCTGTCTGGATATTTTGTCGGGAGCGTTTTTATAATAACAGCTAGCAGATATACCCGACTGTTTTCTCCCTCCTTCAGTTTTATTTATTTATCTATATTAAGTAAAAGCAAAGGCGTTCCTTTGACCAGTATCTGGCCACTTGGAGTGCCTCTGGTGTTGCTGCAAGAAGGTCCTCCATTGTGCATGTGGCAGGGCTCAGGTTGCATTGCAGCAGGTGGTCAGTGGTTTGCTCTTCTCCACACTCGCATGTCGTGGATTCCACTTTGTGGCCCCATTTCTTGAGGTTGGCTCTGCACCTCGTGGTGCCAGAGCGCAGTCTGTTCAGCGCCTTCCAAGTCGCCCAGTCTTCTGTGTGCCCAGGGGGGAGTCTCTCATCTGGTATCACCCACGGATTGAGGTTCTGGGTTTGAGCCTGCCACTTTTGGACTCTCGCTTGCTGGGTGTTCCAGCGAGTGTCTCTGTAGATCTTAGAAAATTATTTCTTCATTTAAAATTACATTAATAAATCTATATAAATAAAAATGTAATGTTCATTTGTGGGATTAACATAACTCAAAAACCACTGGACGAATTGACACGAAATTTGGACACAATACATGAATCAGGCTAATGAGTCACCATCACTCATAACAACACTAGAAAACACAACAGAAGAGACTTAAAAGGCCAAAAAAGCAAAAAGACGCTACAGCGCATGCTGGCAAACAAAACACACAATAGCATATCCACACTATCTTTCAGACTACAGCTCCCAGCATCCCCTAGACAAGGCCCTTTAGGAGAGGAGAAGGATCCAAATACACTGCTTCCAAGCTGCAAGCTTGCTTCTCCTTGGAATTCTTTGAGAGCATCCCAGTCCCTGCATAGTTCCAATTTCCTATTACTGGACTGCAACTCCCAGCAAGATAAGATAAATTAGATAGAGGTAGGTAGATTAAGAGGACTGCTGGGAGTTGCAGTCCAAGAATAGGTAGAGAAGGAAGAAAGGGGAGAAAGAGGAAGGGAAAAAAATGAGGGAGGGAAGAGGAAGGAAGGAAGGAGAGAAGGAAAGAAAAAAGTGAAGGAAGGAAAGAGGGAGGGAAGTTTGGCCACAGCAATGCATGTTGGGTACAACTAATTTACCATATTTATTTAACTCAAAATAGGTTTTATTGTTCACAAAAAGTTATCCCTTTAAGGCAATAAGCTGGAAGTTTCAAAGGGGCAAAGGAAAATATATATTACCATCTCTGGTTGTCTTGGGTCCAAGGAGTTTTGCAGCTGAGAAGCTTTTCCAGGTTCCTCTTTCTCAATGGCTGTGAATATCGGAATAATCACAACCCCAATTCCAATGGCCTATATTATGAAGGGACAAAGCCTTCCTCTGGTGCCAAAGAACTGGTCTGAAGGCACTTGAGACTTCTCAACGTCGTCCAGGTTGATCTGAACATGAAGCATAAGTCTCAAGGGTAAGAACCTCAGAATTGGTGCTGAGAGGTAACTTAATCAAGGGCTTTTAGAGCCAAGTCCCTTTCTCACGTCCATCTGATAGAAAGTTTGATGGTGGAATTAAAAAGGAAACACTGTCCTGCTCTAGGAAGAGGTGGAGCCAAACAATTGAGCTGAGGAAGCAATATAACTGGTGCAAACAACATTGATTGACAGCTATAAAAACCAATCAATCCAACTATACATTTACAGGGTAAAAAGGCAAAATCAGGCATGATACAACAGTTCAAATCTTACAACTTACAGTTCTACATATAGGTGGCACCACTCAGACCGTCACACCACCCCCACCTCTGTATACACACACTTGCCTGAATCCCTGCAAAGATTGGCAGGGAGGAAGACTGTTCTTGCTTTGCTGTTGATATTATCAGCATTTTACAGCATAAAGTCAGCAGTGAGCAGAACCCATCCTCTGCCACTCTTTCTCCTAGGAAGGAAACAAGTAGAGTGGTCTGGATTTTACTTTTCATGTTTATCCAGGAATGGGGAGGCAAATCCAAAGTGTCCCTACCTGCTTTGACTTCCAAATGAACCCCGTTCCGAGCTCTCCGCATGGAAATTGCATTTGCTTACATTGCAAGGGCCTTTGCGAAGAGGCGGCAAGTGCTGGATTTTCTCGGAATCTGTCGGTTGGATTTTTGTGACATTTAGGTGCTCAGAATGCAATTTGATTTTGGACAAGGCTACTATGATTTTGGACAAGGCTACAATGGGGAGGAAAACGTACAAGTCTGTCCCTCTTGCTGATGCCGAGGCAGATGTGTCTATTTTTTTTTCTTTCTTGAAAAATATCCATTCACTTTTTAAGCACTTTCCCTGAAAATTGGGTCAGTTGTTGAAATGACAGAATCAGCCTGGATTGTAGGAACCCAGAGTGTATTCTTGGCCTGTGAGGCATATCTACCACGTTCCCATTTTCCAATTTTAGATGTGCACATTTTTTAAAATATCTAAAGTCATGTATGGCATTTCCCATTAGCTTGAACTACATAGTTATTTTAAGTAACTACAATGAAGTGTTAAAATACCAGACTGTGACATTAGGTAAAAACTAAGGATTTTAAACCTTAGCCGTTCAGATTTTTAGCCAGTTGGAATATGAATGTTCTGGTGGCCTTTGTGTTGTGTCAGAAGGAAATAAGAGGTTCTTGTTTATAAAAGCACCATCTTAAAGATTTTGAAGTGGTTCCAATAGATTGAAATAAATGCATACAAAAATTAAAAATTAATATATTAGTAACACCATTGGCATTAGGGCATTAGGCGATCCTTCGTTGTCCGAGTAGGATAGTCTTCCAAGATCGGTGTAGTGGCGGTGGGTCCGTAGGTGACTATGTACCCCTATTCTTGACCTGCATGTTCTCCTGCAGTGAGGGCATCAGTTTCCAGATGGAAGGCAGTCCTGGTCAGGGTTGGCTTGACGTTCCTTCCTCTTGGCACGTTTCTCTTTTTCACCCTCCATTCGTGCCTCTTCAAATTCTACAGCACTGCTGGTCACAGCTGACCTCCATCTGGAGTGCTCAAGGGCCAGGGCTTCCCAGTTCTCAGTGTCTATGCCAGAGTTTTTAAGGTTGGCTTTGAGCCCATCTTTAAATCTCTTTTCCTGCCCACCAACATTCTGTTTTGCGATCAGAGTAGAGCAACTCCTTGGACAACAGTGGTTGGGCATCCAGACAACGTGGCCAGTCCAGCGGAGTTGATGGCGGAGGACCATTGCTTCAATGCTGGTGGTCTTTGCTTCTTCCTGCATGCTGACATTTGTCCGCCTGTCTTCCCAAGAGATTTGCAGGATTTTTGGAGGCAACACTGATGGAATAGTTCTAGGAGTTACATGTGACCTCTGTAGATAGTCTACATCTCGCAGGGTTGGGAGGACAATAGCTTTACAAACAAGCCCCTTGGTCTCCCTATGGATATCCCGGTCCTCAAACACTCTGCTTCATTTGGAAAAAAGCTGCACTTGCAGAGCTCAGGCGGTGTTGTATTACAGTTTCAATGTTGACTTTTATGGAGAAGTGGCTGCCAAGGGAGCAGAAATGGTCAACATGTTCTAATGTTACACCATTAAATTGTATTTCTGGCTTTGGAGAGGAATTGGCTGGTGAATGCTGGAAGAGCACTTTGGTTTTCTCAATGTTCAATGACAGGCCGAGCTTCCACTATGCTTCTGTGAAGGTGTTTAGAGTGGCTCATAGGTCTTCTTCTGAATGTACTGGCTGTTAGGAATTGTGGGCGTTGACGTCCAAAACACCTGGAGGGCCAAAGTTTGCCCATGCCTGCGTTAAGGCCTTTTACTAGAATTTTCTTCACTACTCAGTGGGGGAATTCTCTACAGAGCTGTGGACATGTTGACTTGGTGCCTCTCTTCCTCCTCTCTCCAGCTCATCAGTTTGTGAAACTTATCAAATCTTTAAAAGGAGCCAGAGCGCGAGAGAAATGATGATGTTTCGCTGTTGTGACTTCTGTGTTGGCGTGCCTTTCGAAGCAGCAGAGTGACTTTTCTTCCAGAGGTTACTTAAAGGTCGTCTGCTTGTTAAATGGGTTTTCAGCCGATCAAGTGCCCTTTTGGGTATGAATCTTGAAATTGTATTATCTCCTTCGATGATGGCAGGGAGGTGAAAAATAGCAGTGGCATTTCTAGCAGAGGCCACCGAAAGGTCATTCATCTAATGGTTTACAGGAACCATTAACTTCTTGTGTCAGCCTTTCCCCTTGGGAAAGGAAGGCTTCCACGTTGGAGAAGATGAAATTGCAGATGTCTGGTTCCAGTTCAGCTCATTTTTCAACCAAGCTGTGCGACAAAGACAAACTACAAGAGAGGAGATTCCATCTGAACATGAGGAAGAACTTCCTGACTGTGAGAGCGTTCAGCAGTGGAACTCTCTGCCCCGGAGTGTGGTGGAGGCTCCTTCTTTGGAAGCTTTTAAACAGAGGCTGGATGGCCATCTGTCAGGGGTGATTTGAATGCAATATTCCTGCTTCTTGGCAGAATGGGGTTGGACTGGATAGCCCATGAGGTCTCTTCCAACTCTTTGATTCTATGATTCTTTCTTCCCTTGCGTCCTAGTCTCCAAGGAAGCAGAAAACAAGCTTGCTCCCTCCTCCTCCCTCTGGCTTCCTCTCACATATTTATACATGGCTATCATATCTCCTCTCAGCCTTCTCTTCTTCAGGCTAAACATGCCCAGCTCCTTAAGCCGCTCCTCATAGGCTTGTTCTCCAGACCCTTGATCATTTTAGTCGCTCTCCTCTGGACACATTCCAGCTTGTCAATATCTCTCTTCAATTGTGGTGCCCAGAATTGGACACAATATTCCAAATGTGGTCTAACCAAGGCAGAATAGACATTTCCTTTATATTGCAGATTTATTCCAAATTAGTAGTTTCCCACTGTTTCCATTCAATATATTCAACTTTATTTTGTTTAGTGTGTTTAAATTAAAAAAGCTTTATATCTATTTGACTTGCTTCTA